AACCTTCCTTCCGAGGAGTGGCTGGTGGGTTTGAACCGCCAGCCTTCTGGTTAGCAGTCAAGTGCCTTAGGCACTATGCTACCAGAGCTCCTGATACGGAAAGGAGGAGGAAGAGTAAAAAGAAAGGTGGCACACTTTAAAGATACTTCCAGTATACAGGTGTGTGTCACTTAACGTCCACCAGCAACGTCCAACCACGTGTATGTCCGGTCCCATAAAGTTTAATTTGTTGTTGTCGTTTTAAAAGAAAGTAGCTCTTTTCATTATTTCCTTCTATTGATTTTAACGTCTTAGACATAGAGTAACCAAAGCAGTGGAAAGAAAGGATGAAATAAAAGAGGTGAACAGAAGATTCTAAAGGGTGGCTTGAGAAGACAAAGTAAGGTATATTAAAATGAGCAAAGACCTGGAGTTAGAAAACCAGAAGGGAAGAGTATACTTGGCATTTCTCAACCTGAAAGAACTGAAGAAAAAATTCAAGCCCCAAGTTGCAAAGTTGAAGGAGACTATGGGCAAAATATTGAACAATACAAGAAGCATCAAAAGAAGATGGAAGGAATACACAGAATCACTGTACCGAAAGGAATTGGTCAGCGTTCAATCATTTCAGAAGGTAGCATATGATCAAGAACCAATGATATTGAAGGAAGAAGTCCAGCAGCACTGAAAGCACTGGCAAAAAACAAGGCTCCAGGTATTGACGGAATACCCACTGAGATGTTTCAGCAAACAGATGCAGCACTGGTAACACTCACTCATCTGTGCCACAAAATTTGCAAGACAGCTACCTGGTCAACCAACTGGAAGAGATCCCTATTTATCCCCATTCCAAAGAAAGGTGATCCAACAGAATGTGAAAATTATTAAACGATATCATTAATATCACACAAGTAAAGTTTTCCTGAAGATAATTTACAAATGGTTGCAGCAGTATATTGACAGGGAACTTACAGAATTTCAAGCCAGATTCAGAAGAGGATGAGGAGCAAGGCATATCATTGCTGATGTCAGATGGATCTTGGCTAAAAGCAGAGAATACCAGAAAAATGTTTGGTGTGTTTTATTGAGTCTATAAAGACATTTGACTATATAGATCATAACAAATTATAGGTAACATTGTGAAGAATGAGAATTCCAGAACACTTAATTGTGCTCATGAAGAACTTGTACATAGACCAAGAGGCAGTTGTTCAAACAGAACAAGAGGATACTGAATGGTTTAAAATCAACATGAGAGTGCATCACAGTTGTATCCTTTCACCATATGTATTCAATCTGTATGCTGAGCAAATAATCTGGAGAAGCTGGACTATACGAAGAAGAACTTGGCATCAGGATTGGAGGAAGACTCATTAACAACCTGAGATAAGCAGATGACACAGCTTGCTTGTGAAAGCAAAGAAGACTTGAAGCACTTACTGATGAAGATCAAAGACTATAGCCTTCACGTGGATCATACCATAAAGAAAACAAAAATCCTCACAACTGGACCAATAAGCAGCATCATGATAAGTGGAAAAAAGATTGAAGTCGTCAGGAATTTCATTTTACTTGGATCCATAATCAGCACCCATGGAAGCAGCAGTCAAGGAATCAGACAATGTACTGTATTGGGCAAATCTGCTGCAAAAGTTGTCTTTAAAGTGTTAAAAAGCAGAGATGCCATTGAGGTGCACCTGACCCCAGCCATGGTATTTTCAATCATTTATATGCATGCAAAAGCAGGACAATGAATAAGGAAGACGGAAGAAGAATTGATGCCTTTGGATTATGGAGTTGGCAAGAATATTGAATGTAGTATGGACTGCCAGAAGAATGAACAAATTTGTCTCAGAAGGAGTACAGCCACGACGCTCCTTAGAAGGGAGGATGACACAACTGTGTCTCATGTATTTTGGACCTGTGATCAGGAGGGACTGCTCTGGAGAAAGACAGCGTGCTTGGGAAAGTAGAGGGTCACTGAAAAAGAGGAAGCCCCTCGACGTGGTGGATTGACACAGTGGCAGCAACAGTAGGTTCAAACATGGCAGTGACTGTGAGGTGCAGTGAGTTACTTCATATGGCCCTTCTAGGCATAGCTTTTGTAAGTCCCACCAAATGACTGAGTGGGACTGTGAAAATGAGGTGTTTGTGGCCACCCAAGGGCATTGAGTAGCTTGCTGATAAAGCAAATAAGGTGCACGGCACCCTGGTGGGAGTGGGACCATGCAAATAAGGTGTATGGATCCCTAAGGAGAGGATTGGCCAGTTTTGCCATCCCACTAGGCTTAAAGTCAACCCCCCTGCAGCAGAGAGGGAGAACGTCACAACCATCAAAAGGAACAGGTAGGGATGGGGCACATCCTTCAGACCCTGGGTCCCTGTGCTGGGAGGCTCCAAAACCCACAGACAGACAGAATGGAGACGCCAGCGATGGTGAGAAGCAGTGACAGAAGAGGTGGGAGCAGAGGCAGCAGAACCAAGAGTGAGACAGTACGGTGGGCTTCGCAGCCACAGAACAAGATGGTGACAGTGCTTGTACCAGCCCACGGGGTGAGAGAGCTGGGTGCCTTCAGGCAGCAGGCTTCCTGGCGGAGTGGGGTGTCTCAGCGCTCTTATTGGGCCATCCAGGCTTGCCAGCTCACAGGGTGAGAGAGCCGAGAGCCTCTGCTGCGGCTTGGCCGTGGAGTGGGGTGCCTCAGGGCTCTTACTGGTAGAGCTAAAGGGCTTTGTAACACTTGCCTGAGCAGGGCAGAGGCTGGGGGGCATTATGGCCTAGAGGCTGAGGGCCACAAAGAGCCTGCCTGCAGGCATGGCTGAGAGGAAGCTGTTCTGACTGAAGGACTGTATCCTGAGCCATTTCTGATCCTGAATTGTAACCTGTTGGTTTCCTAATAAACTTTGGCAATGACCCAGGTGCTGGTAATATGCACAAGGTGGGTTCCTTGGTTGAGGCAGGAAGAGCCAACCATGTCTAACTGGGCGCAGGGGCAGGGAGAAAGGCTGTCTTAGAAGCACGTTAGGGAGCCGCTGGGTTGAGTGGGTGCTCCGAGAACCAGCCTGGAGAAGTCCAGGACCTTCTCAGAGGTCAGAGCAGCCCGCTGAGGAGGTCCACAGTTCTGCGGTCTTTCTGGCTCAGGGTTCAATTCCCTAGAAGGGAACCTTCGATGGGGCAGCCTCAGGCCAGTGCACAGCCCTTGGTTGTATAAGGCCATGAGAGGAAGGGTTTAGGGGAAGGGCCTCCTTTGTTTTCTGTGGCAGAAAATACCTGGGTTTCCCCTCCCCAGCACTGGAGGGGGGTCAGTCAGTCCTGCAGAGGAGGTTACGGACTTCGGAGAAGGAGGTTGGAGGTTGGACACCCCAAGCAACGGGCCTCCCCACACACACTCTTCTTCCAGAAAGCCCCTCCCCTCACGGCCACGGCATTTCAAACTCAGCACTTCCTCTGGGTCATCTGAGCAAGAGGGTGGGGCTCCCACGCAGAGTCCCTGCTTGCTGCTTGTGTTTTAAAGATGTGTAAACACATGTGCCCATGCACGCATGCATGCATGCATTTCATGCACGTGCACACATGCATGTGCACATCTGAGCTGCTGCATCGGGCTTTCTGAGGTTGGCGTAGGAATCTGAACGTTCAGGGAGACTCCCGTGAAATATTTACACACAACCCACCCAGCACAGTCAGTGGAAAGCATATATATGTATGCATGTATATTGCAGGGTGCCCTGGGGCGCAGTGTTAAAGTGCTCGGCTGCTAACCCAAAGAGAAAGATGTGGCATTCTGCTTCCAATAAGACTGACAGCCTTGGAAACCCTGTGGGGC